CATCTTATGGGTATATTGGTCTATATATGCATGTATACGTCTTGATGAAGAAAATAAGTGGGTATACCAAACTATCTGAACGCACTACCCTCTGGCAGCCATCACATCCTTGCTTGATTTCACCTGAATTCACAAATATCGTGCAACTTGGGGTCGCCAGACATACCAACCAGAACAGCAGCTATTCGACTAGGCTCGGGTAAAAGCACATCCAGCAAGTGGCCTATTAAGGGCAATCTGCGGACAAACTGAGTGGTCCTCGACGTTGTGAGTACGAGCCTACCGGTCTTACTACGTTTACCCAAGCTTAGCCTCTGTTTGGCTTCCTGCAAAGAGAAGCAACCCCCCACGTAGTGAACAATAGGACAAACTATTAGTTGGATACTCAGATGCTACATACACACACCAGCATAACAGTAGAGACGCTCAGGGCAGGGGCAGCGGATCGGATTAACGGCTCGGCGAGACATACACAGCCAATACCAAACATGCATGCAAGACATGGCATGACAAGGCATATGTCAATGTATTGCAAGCGTGTGCTATGTAAAGTACTCGCACATGCCACCTATACAACACATGCCACCCAACACACACCCACCTCCGCCTGCTCTTCCTGGTACTGGGCTGGCAAGCCCTCATTGTACGGGGGGTAGGCAAGTGCAGGCAGCACACACACGCATACAATACATGATACCCGCCAATGTACTGTAAGTTTGTACTATGCAAAGTACACGCACATGCCAACTATACAACACATACCACCCAACACACCCCCACCTCCGCCTGCTCTTCCTGGTTTTGAGCTGGCAAGCCCTCTTTGGTACGTGGGGTAGGTAAGTGAAGGCAGCACACACACGCATACAAGACATAGTACACACCAATATACTGTAAGTTTGTACTATGTAAAGTACTCGCACATGCCACCTATACAACACATGCCACCCAACGCACACCCACCTCCGCCTGCTCTTCCTGGTACTGAGCTGGCAAGCCCTCTTTATACGTGGGGTAGGTAAGTGAAGGCAGAAGCTCCGTCTTGAGGCGCACATTTGAAACGCGTTTATTCTCTCCGTAGAACGACCGGGCCATGGCCGACATATCCGCATCCTTAAACTCAATGAGCGGAGGCACCTCCAGACCTAGCAACTGGCAGCCGAACTCAACAATCTCGTGCTACAAACAAAACACACGGAATGGGGACAAGGTAACGGGGGGGGGGAATGAGCCCAAAAGTCGTATCGGTATCGGCCCTGGCCAGAAAATTCGGGCCTGGGTTAGGACTAGGACTAGGGCTAGGGCTGAGTGTGTGGTAAGACTTGGTTAAGGGAGACTAGGTGTAGTACGATTTGGTTACGTAAGGTTAGTTATAGTAAGACGTAGTCAAAGAAGACGTAGACCCGAGTACTATACGGCCCGTGACGTAAGCAGTCAACTCTGCGCATCACTAACAGCTGTAACCATGGAAACGCTGTGCATACGCTCACCCCAGATATGAAACATGACACTACACACAAGTTTCTTCATGGACTTGACTACATTTGATAGGCAGGGTTTTAACAATGATGAAAACCTAAACTGATTCGATATAGGGTTGGTTGCCAAAGACTTGACAGCAACGACCTCTGGACAACACGCACAGCTGGAACCATGGAAACGCTGTGTATATACACACTCCACCAAGAGATCGAACAGGACGCTACACACAAACATTCGCCATTGTACTGGCTACATTTGATATGCTCAACTGACCACATACAATACACCCGGTTGTAACCACGATAAAACCATGATAAAACCATAAGCTGGTTGGATAGAGGGGTGTTGGCCCCGTTCGCACGGGCAGACGTGCAACACCGTATATACCTGTGGACAGGGGAAATCATCCACCACATTGTAAACTCGCTTGGGGTTGGGCTTTTGCGTGGATGCAATAACGGCGTTGACTATATCGTCGACATGGATACGCGAGAAACAGTGGCCCTCCTTTCGGATGCGGCGCTGGGTGCCGGACCTAATTTTTACCTACAGTTGGGACAGGCGCAGTGAGCGAATCGGGTGGATTAGGAACGTTTTACTTACAATCAGGACAGGTGCAGTGAAAGCGTTGGGTGTCGTGTGGTGCAGCGGATTAGAAAAATCCTACCTACAATTAGGACAGGCGCAGTGAGTGAATATGATGATTAGGAACGTCTTACCTATCACCAGGACAGGTGCAGTGAACAGAATGAGGACCGTGGGATGATGTTGATTACAAACTTCTCGAGTCGTTCATGTGAGGGAATACGGGTATAGCTAGAACTGTACTATCACCGCAACCTCAGACTATACAGTGGACCGTTATACGACACATCGGTGTTCGGTCAGACAAAAAGGGTTTAGGGTCGATTTGGGCCTTTCATTTTCTCGATATGACCCTACGGTGCAACTGACACAATATAGTCTTGAAAGCACATCATTGTGATGTGTGGTGTACTTTGACCAGGGAAAGAAGCGCCCTGATCTACTATAGGTCGCAATATATATACATATACATAATGTACACCATATACTATATAAAATATAATATCATACCTATATATATATATATATATATATATATATATATATATATATATATATAACTAAACTAATAATAACACACACACACACACACANATATATATATATATATATATATATATATATATATATATATATATATATATATATATATATATATATATATATATATATATATATATATACTATA